TGCCTGAATATGTGCAGAAGGAAGAACAATGGTCAAACTGTATGTGAACATGCTATGACTGGAGATGTAAAAAGGCAAAGAAAATAATGAGGATAGGAACAGGATCAAAGTTAAGTCTGCAACAACGGCAAGTTATCTCATCTCATTTGTCAAAAAATAATTGTTCGTTAAGGCAACAAGTCAGTAGCACTTAGCACATAATTTAGAGCTAAACATGATCTATGAAATGGCAATATATCCATGTTTTTACCAGGTTTCCATTTTCAAATTGGATAGAAAAATATAAAGGAATGATTGCAAACTTACCTGGATATGGGAGGCTACATCAGCAACTGTTAGCCTCAAACCATTTTCGTGCTCCCTCAGGATCCATTCATAAAGTTTTTCCTGAATCAACCAAAGAAAATGGAGTTTTAGTGCCCGGGGTATGGATAAGCACTATCTGCCTACAATCACTGCATTTTCGTGAAAAGGATGCGTGATTAGGGCGTACCCAGTGCAGAGAGCTCCCGCTCTGTGCGGGGTCTGAAAAGGATGCGTGATTGAGACAAAAAAAAAAATTCCACCTTACAAACACCAGAGCAAAAGAAACAAATGCGAGTCCTGGGGGTACTGCCAACTTAATAGTTAGTATTGAGTTTGACATTAATTCCAGGACGTGGAAAATGGTCCCTTGGACATTATGCCAAAAAGAAAATTTGAAATACCATACATCATCCCCAAATTGGAACATCAAAGCAGTATCACAAAGCCCTGTTGTATAAATCTCACACCTGCTAACTGGTTTTCAAATGGTGTGACATGTTAATTATTAAAAACATTAAAGCGCATAGAGAGATGATATAGACTACAGAAGATGGATAAATAATAACAATGAACAAAGATCAGTATGGTCATTAAATTTGGGGAAAAAGCAGTTTGGAATAAAAATTTCAGGCAAGAGCATGCTCCAGTTACCAAATTTGACATTCACATATAGTTTTGCGAAAAAGCTAAAATCATGCTACCAGAGGGTGCAATCATCACCTTGTAAAAGTGTGAAATCAAGTATTCACTCATAGAAATGAAATAACTACACTATTTTTCTACCTATTTAATTCTAATCACAATTTGTAGACAACCTGAGCATGTACCTCGAGAACGTGTTGTGCTTCAATGCGTGGCAATGAACTAGTTGAAAGCCTAGAACTCTCTAAAGCCATGTCTAATGCTATTATGTGGCAGGCGCTTAGTGGAATGTTGCGTCTGTTTTGTTGGAACTCAGCCCAAGTGCTCACAGATGCATGACGCTCGACCAGGCAGCAGACATCGGGGTAGGCCAAGTAGCATTACAAAGATAGCTAGTCCATCTGTTTCTTGCAAGGGGCAAATGAGCGCATAAATAGGCTGCTGACGCTTTCAAACTAATTAAGCATATATAATATACTTTCTCATTGTAGATTAGGACTCTTGTGAACATGATAGATGATGTAGCATACATTCTTTAAGCATCTATTTAAGCAACTGTGCACTGTACATGCCCAGTGGTGGAGCATGAGGTAAAATTTGAGGTATGGGTGGGTGCGTTGGGCCTCAAAGGCACAAGAGCACAGAGTCAATGTACAAGATCCTGTGGTACTTATCATGGTGCCAGGAGGGCACAATATAGGGCAAGCATGGTGGTGCTGGTGATAACAGATGGTGCCTGACAGCCAATGGCCCAATGGTACATCAAGAAAAAAAAGCACTATCCAGCAAATGATTTGAAATTAGTAGAATAAGCATACAAACCCAGGTCCTCGAGCAAATATAGGACAGCCAGGTATCTGGATCTACGCCTTGCTAGCATCCACTACGTGTGTATCTCAACCAAAAGAACTAGGAGCATGCAGAGCGCTGGAGGAGGGCTTGAGGCATCTGCAGTTCTTCCTAGCCTCCAGGTGATGGCACTTGGTGAGATGACAGCAGCTGGCAATCAGGGGCTGGAGCCCAGTTTCAGCTCCGCTCCTGTACATGCCCTAAGTGATTATGCACAAAAGATGTGGTGCCAAGAACCACTTGAGGAAATGCATGCTGAGTTGTGAACTAGATGCCACTACTGACTGTTCACTAGTTTCCAGTTGTATGAGGGTATACTGGACTATCCATCTGATGGAGATTTAGTCTAATAAATATGCATACACGTTTAGCTACCATACTGCACTACTAAAGCTAACTTGTTGTGTCTGGAAAAAAAAATGTTAATTTTTTACCTAACAATAAAACAATGTGGACCATAAAACAATACCTATCATACAAATGAAACACTGCAACCTCTGACCAAAACCACAATAAAAGATACTACAAGTTGTAGTGCCAAGAAATGTGTACTTAGACTGGAACAGCACAGCAGTACCCTGAATGGTGAGACTTCCATATAGCAGTGCACAAGCAAAGTAAAGTAGAAAAGGATGCATCCTTGGTACTACTCCCGAAGTAACCTACCCCAAAAGTAAAGTCTCTAGCCCCTCCCGCCTGTTTTCCGATTGCACACCCTCCCTCTGAACCTAACCAAGCCTAATCTGAGCCTTGCAAGTTGCAAAGCACAAAGTGAGACGCCCACAGCCGCTTCCAACCGAGAAAGGAAAAGCTAAAGTAACACAGAAGCAGCTAATTAGAGAAGGAGCGGCAATTAGAGCTTGTAAAATTCCAAGCGGAATGACTCCAAATGGCAATACAACAGTTGTTGTTTTATCAATCAATTTTGTAAGGAGGTGTGGCATTGAATAGGATATCGAGAACAGAGGTCAACACTCAACAGGACGAGCTAGGGATCGAGTACGAAGAGAGATTAATCTCAGCAAATGTTGGCAGTGGACGTGGATAAAAACTAATCATGCGTAGCCTATCCATCCATCCACGAAATTCACCCAGAACTTGCGTCAAATATACTTGCTACTGCCATCATATCCTCTGGCATGGAAAGCAACGGATCGACATCAGTATCAAACTGGACCCGAGAGATCCAATCTCCGCCCCACAGGAGGAAGCGTCAGCATCGGAATTCCCAACCAATCGAGCCTAAAACACAGGAATTCACACCACAGAGACTGCCAAGCGCCCCAAAAATCGGGTGGGCCCGAATTGGCCGCCGCCAGGACGCAAATCTCTTCCACTTCCCACCGGGGAACGGAACCCAACAGGCACCCCAATCCGCCGCCGGAGGGGAGGAGGGAAGGAGCGAGGGAGGGCCGTGGACGTACCATGGCGTGGCGTTCGCCGGCGTGGAAGGAGGCCTTCTGCGCGCCCATGGCGAGCGTGTAGAGCTGCGAGAGCGAGTTGGCGGCGCCCCGGAAGGCCCCGTAGAGCGCCCGGTCCGCCTCCTCCAGGCGCGCCGCCTCCGCCTTGCGCTTCTTCCCGGCCATCCCAGCCAGTCCCCTCTCAGGTCGTCGCGCTCCCGATCCGTCCGGCGCCGGCCCAGTCCGGGCGAGGGAAGGGAGCCCTAGGGGACCCAGGCGGATAGACGGCCCCCGGCGGCGAGGTGACGTCGACGCGCACGAAGCGGCGGCTTTACGTCTCTCTCTCTTTGCCTGCGCTGTGTTTTTGTTTCCCGTCTCGTCTCGTCTCGTCTCCTCCGTGGTTGGTTGGTTTCTCTTACTCCTCGTCGCTCTTCATATCATCTCGTCTCGTCGTTGCGTCGTTTGCAGTGGCCAGTGGGGTGTGCTGTGGCTGGTGGGCGCGCGCGGAGGTTGATGCCGACGCTGGGGCCCGCATGGCGGTGGCAGGAACGGGACGGGGGCGTACGGGCGCGGAGCGCACGTGGGCCTCGACTGCTTGACGGCGATGTACTGACAAGTGGGACCATCAGGGGCCTGCACGGTGTCACAAGGCCCGTTTGGTTGTCTGGCTCAGTTGGGCCTAGGCCCTTTGCAGATGTGTTTTTTTTTTTGACAACAGCAGATTGTGTTTGTTTGGTTGTTCCAGGGTAACTACCTTAATTACCCAAATGAGATCCTCTTTGTTTACCCAGAGGCTCCTGCATGGAGCTGTCTGGTCCTTTCCCACCAAAACAACATGGTATCAAAGACCTAGGCAGCCTCCATGTTTGTATGATGTTTGGTTTCGTCGGCAAATGTTGAAAGAGACCTTCCTGAATCAGTTCAAAGTCATTGCCACTGCCAGGAAAAAAAAACATTTCAAAGGCATGAGCATTCACTAGCTACTGCAGGAGTTGCTAGTGGCACATGTATTGAAGATCAGTTAAGACTTAGAAGCAATGATGCCTCACAGTATATTGCATTTTCCATTCACGCCATTTGAAAGGAGAAAAATACATAAGGAGATACCTCCTCTGTTCTAAACAAAAGTCATATACCTAGAAAAGCCAAAATGATCTATAATTTGAGACAAAGGGAGTACAATCTTGAATGTTAAGATTGTAAATTTGTTTTACTCCTAGGATGTAGGATCGATCCATATATGTAGTCTAATTCCCTCGAGGTTCGAGCAATGTCAAGCTGGGACTCTATCAACGGTCAACACACACACAAAAAAAATATCAAGGTATCAGGCCTGGATACATTTCTCTATTCACAGTACACACGATGAACGCATATACAGCAACTAACCTGTTTGGTTGAAATTACAAGGCACATTACAATTAATCTTTGAGGACGTCAAGGTACAAAACTCCGAAGTCAATCCCAGGAATTCGTCTCATGGCTGTTTCGAACCTTATTCCATGGGAATGCTTTCTCAGTCACCAACAATTTGATGATCTGTAAACATATGTTCCAGATACTGGGCCAAGATCACCACTTCAGTCTTGCTATCCACCTGGAGAAATCCATAGATTTGGTACATTCCTCTCGCTGCTATTTTCACATGACAATTCAAGCTAAATGACCACAGAGGTTCGTTTGGTCGCATGCGCTGCATAGTCGTCGATGATAATCAACTCAACAACGGAGTGACAACAGATTGACCTGAGCCATTCTGCCTATGGCACATGCAAGCACAGGAATAAAATGCTAAATTGGCCTTCAGCTTGGGGCCGGAGTTTTTCGAGTTCTTGAATCATTGGGCTTGCGTTCAGCACTTGACTGTCCCTGTGGCACTTTATAACTTCTGGTTTTGCTCTGGCTAGTTTCAGCTATGCGAGAAGTGGAGGAGCGTTGGCTCGTCCTAGATCCTGTGCGCTTAGTTTCCGGCTTCAACTTAGCCCTCACTGACCGAGAAGGAACTTGTGTTTTCTGCATCGAGCTTGCACCCTGTTTATCCTTTTGAACAGATTCTTGCTGGATTTGACTCTGGTCACTACTAACATGAAATTCCCCAAAAACAACTGATGCTGAGATACCCTGAACAAGAAATATTTAAACATATACAAAATCAGAAGAAAAAGAGAAAACTGAAATAAAAGAGTAATAAACAGAGAAGAAAATTTCTGACAAATTAAGTATGACCAAGAAAGCAAAATCAATCATGTATGTTCATATTCCTGGCATGTTAAAGAAGAACACAGCAATAACAAAAAATAGAACATCCTTTCCAATGCCATGCCATTTTTTAAGATGATAATACAATGCTATACTAGGATCATGAACTGAAACATTATAATACTAACAGGCATATCTACAAATATCACCTTATTTTGAATTGGAGAGGCTTCTGGACCCTCAACTTGCTCCTCTTCAGAATCATCCATTTCCTCACATTCAAACTCAACATGCTGGCTATCTTCCTCAGAATCACTTAATTCTTCTTGCTCCATTACAATTCCTTGCATTGATTCTTCATTAGGTTCTTGAATGCAATGATGAAAATAGGAATTTATAACCTCGAGCTCTGGAACACTTGATTTGTCCTTCCTAGAAACTTCATCTTGAACATTTGATCTGCTAAAACTACTTCTGAAGTCATTTGAATCTTTTATTGCCGTTGGAGAACATAAATGAATGTTCAAGTCAATACTTGTCTCCCTCTCAGAAGGGCTTGTGGATGCTTGCCCAGCTGTTGACTGGTCATCTACTGGGACTTCGCTCATGTTATTATCAGACTGATGGTAATCAAGGTTACTATCATATTCTGCTACTTCATTATGCACATCAACTTCCGTTCTTTGCAAGAGAGGATGGAAGTCGATAGTGTTAGTATTTACAGTACCATTTTCGGTGGAACCTGTAGTCTGGTTGTTACTTCTCTCAACTCGAAGTTTCTCAAAGGGGAAAAGATCATATTTTCTTGACTGATTAATAAGATTTTGAACCGGGTGACTATATGACGAAACCACATCTCGAGAATACTGAAACAGTAAAGGATGCATCTGCAAATCTTGCTCAGCACCATCCTCCGTAGCATTATCATTAGAGATCTCATTCTGCTGCAATCTAGAATTAGCTCTGTGATCAGGGAACAGATTTAGCTGTCTATAAGCACTTTCTGTAAAGGCCAGAGGTGGCACAGGATACATATTCTTTGCTGCATGATCCGAGGTGCCATGAAAGTGTGTTGCGTTCGGATGAAATGCCACCTGAGATAGGACACGGACAGAAGGTGGAAGGTTCACAGGAGGCAAGTCTGGAGCCAACTTGACCACACAACCACCTTTCTCTTTACTCAATTTGGAAGCCGGCAGTTGGTCCAGAGATCCACATGATACCACTGGAGCTGCAGTGGAAGGTGTTCTCAAATATGATGGTCCATCAGAAGGGCAGTACATAAAAGGTATATATGAGGTGGTTACATCAAGTTTCGCACCACTTCCTTTCTGCGGTTCAATGTAACCACATGTAGCACCACATTCTTCATCGACGCCTGTGCCTGACTGCATCATCATGCTTTTGCCAGCATGTTTTGATAAGGACAGTTGACAAGGCATCATGTTCATGCTCCTACTATCTGTGTCTTCCAAAAATGCTTCATTGACATATGAATCATCATCATTTTCAACATCTTCAGAAGCATTGTTATCAGCCTGTGATGAAAGCATACAAAAATTATGCTTAATGACATCGCTTTAGATGGAGATTAAGATACTATTTGGATATACTTAGTTAAAGAAACATACTAACCTCTTGTCCACAGTGTGAATCGGGCATGGATGCTCTAAGCTTTCTCCTCTTTGCTTCATATGTTCGCCTTCTTTCTTTTTCAGCATCACTTTTAGTGTAAGATTTCTGGACTCCACTTGCAACTCTCCATTGACGTTGGAGCAGTGAAGGATCTCTATGTGGCACTACAAACCTCCAAACTGATGTCCAGTCATTTTTGAATATCCTCAGCCCCTGAAATCACAGTAAGTATGGAAGAAACTAAGCGACACAAATCAAGCATGGAAAATTGAAGATAGCATGCAGTCACAAGTTATCACCTCCTGGATACATTCTTTCTCCTCGACTGTCAATGGAGATGTCTTCATATGGCGCACATCCTGCATTAATTCAGATAAGAATATAGTTATTTTGAAGCTTATGTTGGGTTTTGCTGATAGCAGTCATGAGCTCAAAATCTATCATATCCTGATGATTGACCATGATAATACACGATTCAAGGACAAAGAATTTCCTGCTGCTATCCTATAATATTCATCTCTATTTGGTGATAAATAAACTACCTCTCTTTTTTTTCTTTTGCTTTCTCAGATATTTCATAAAACGGACTCTCTATAGATCCCCACCAGTGATCAATTCTCGCATGAATAGCTAACGATCCGGTAAGTCCAACATCGATTCCTTCGAACGTGTGCTGTACCGGAAGTAGGCTATTTGCCCTAACCAGATAGCATTAATCCGATTTCCCTGCTATAGCCATATTTCTAAAAAGGATAAGCTGGCAAGCACAGGTTTCTAAACAGGAGTTAGGTATGGGTTGTGTGATTTGAGATAGAGTTTCCTCTCGGGGAGGGAACTCTATCGTTCTAGAGACAGATATTCTTTCCTCTCGGTACTTAGATTTTTATCTAATTTCTCATTCCTGTTTCCTTTGTTCTGCCGACTACCTAGCGAACTGAAACATCTTAGTAGCCAGAGGAAAATCAAGTCTCATGTTGCTCCTCGGAAAACGCGTATAGTAGTCTCACTGGCCTTGCCTTCACCAATGGCACTTCAAGAATTCTGTCTAGAGCTAGATCCCATCCCGTATCAATGGAATGTTTTCTCAAAAGACCTCCTTGTATTTTATCATGCCCATTCCGCTAACAGCTAGAATCTCTATCTCTGATCCTGCCCTCCTTCCTATCTGTCATTTTTTTGACACGAGGAACTCACCATGAATCCACTAATTGCTGCTGCTTCCGTTATTGCTGCTGGATTGGCCGTAGGGCTTGCTTCTATTGGGCCCGGAGTTGGTCAAGGTACTGCTGCAGGACAAGCTGTAGAAGGTATTGCGAGACAGCCAGAAGCAGAAGGGAAAATACAAGGTACTTTATTGCTTAGTCTAGTTTTCATGGTCAAAGCTCAAGTAAACTCTTTGGCAGCTCGTTGTGCCATTACTTTCGGTTGCGCAATTCCAATTCTCGTAATCTTTGTCTCCATAATCTTTAGAGATTCTTGTGGTGTGCCCCTCCCGTGTTATCATTCACAGCTTCGTAGGGCAAGTTCACCATCTCTCTGAGAAAGAGAAGCAGAAGAAAAGGAGGTTCTTTTCCCATCTCTTTTGGCAAAGAGTTAAGGAATTTAGGGCGGGAAGAGATCTAAGAGTGATAATACACAACATGGCCAAATCAACCCAACCCAAATCAGTGTCAGAACAAGGCAACACGCAGACAAACTCTTTCACAACATATATACTTACTCTTTGAAAAAATCTAGTAGCCAGAGGTTGAATAATATAGCGCCACGCACAAGCAGAGCAACATGTGCCACTAAGAGAGTAGTAAAAAAACCATCTCTCCAGTTTGCTACTGAGTAAGTTATTAAATAAAGGTGATATTGTCCACAAATCTTGTCAAGAAATTTAAATAACATACTACTATTTTGTTGGCACATAAACAAAATGATAGACATCAAAATGAGATAGATAAAAATTATCAACAGTGTAAGTGCTGCGGCAGAAACTTCGCTACCTACACAATACAGGATTTTATAAAGCACTCTCTTCATTGTTTACAGACCAGTTCAAAACCAGAACTTCAATACTACACAATATAGAATGAGCACAACATATTGCTATTGTTAGCATGAACTGCTAATCTGATAACACTACTATGCAACTCAATGGACACCTTGACCATAATGTTGAACCCTAAAAGTCACATGAAAATCAATTCAGCATCTTATCTTCCAGTAAATGAAGGGGAAAACATTTACCTTAACTGGATTATCAGGAGCTTTGGAGGAGCTACGATTCTTTTGTCTCACAAATATCTGCACCAAAGAAATATTTCATCCAGCAGGCATAATACCCAAGTCCAGAACAAGGAATTCTCAAATACCATGAGCAACTACCAATTTATAAGACAACCAATAGGCATTATAGAAAGGATCTCTCCCCAGCGAATGAGCAGGAGAGCTGCTAATTAGATGGAGAGAAAAAATCCAAGCTTACTTGCTTGTGCGATCAAAAGGAAAGCAAACTAAATTGGCAACAGACCTTTGTGACAATAAAATGCTCAGACTTCAGAATCTTTATTGAACCTGCTTTGGCAGTACTGAGAACAGACATCAACTTTAGGCCACGAGTAATGCCAGCAAGGTCAAAAATGTCATTGCCATGTCAATACAGTCAAAACAACTCCTTTTTCTAATACTGATTCCTTGAAGGCATTTCATGTCCTTCATTACTCTCAAAAAAAATTTGTTAGATTGTTATGGCTGCTGTGTTTGCGGTACGGCGGCAATGGAGGAGTGGGCAGTGAGCCTCGAGATCGTAGTCTCGGCCAAGGTTGGAGCGAGGTTTTCCCCTCGGCTCCCTATTTTGTTGAAGAAGAGGAGATAGAGATTAGGCTAATTCATTCTTGATTGATTCTGTTCGGCCGAGTGGCTTAGATAGGCCTCCGGCCAGCTCTCAAACAAACTCCTAAATTTACTCTCTTATTCCTTAAATCTCTCAAATTGCTAACCTTCCTAGCTAAGTCCTAGACCTGCCTGTTTGGCATGAACAGCCACTGCTGTTGCCTGATGTGGTTGCTAGCCCCTTGCTGCACCTTGTGAAGGACTTGCCCCACATGACAAGATTAAGATTAAAATAAACTATTTCATGCCATGTCAATCTTCACTAAATAGATGATAAAAAGAACTACTGATTTATGCCTGACAAATCATAAAAGGAAATTAAAGAACTTTTGGATCTTGAAACAAATTTTGCAATCAAAAGGAGTAACGAAAAAATACCTGATGCTTTGATTTACAAGGAAGAAAGCGCTTTTGTATTGCTGCCCAGTCATTGTTATATTCCAGAATTCCTAGAGCTAATAATCTGCAAGCAGATAATATACTATAAAATTAACTGTGTAAAGAAGTGACAAGCATCATATCAACTATACACTTGAGGAGGGCATTACATGATGTCCTTTAGGCAAGTGGTAATAACAACGAAGCAACCATGATACAATTAACTATACAAAAGGAGGCGATCTTGAGGAAAGTTGAAAAAAAGGATGAATGGAATAGCTGTGATACAGCTGATGAGGAAGTTAACACACAATTTGCATAAACCAACACCACTAATACAGAAACAAAAATAGTACGCAGCCCAACAAAAACTAAGTATTCAGATTTCTTGATTTTCTTTGTTTTTTAGTCAAGAAGGCACGGAAGCATGCACAACTTTCAAAAGAAATCTTGGAGAAGATGTAAAACACACCTGTCCTCTGCATCAGTGAAAAGCACTCTACTGGCCATAGCTGAAGGAGGTGACTTATGAGGAAAGAGTGCAAAATTGAAAAGTGAAAAGAACCTCTGTGCTAATCTTGCAATGCCAGCAGGAACAAGAGCAACTGTATCCTTTTTAATATTCTCAAGCAGGGTAGCAGCCAACGATTTCTTCTGCTTCAACTGCCCAGATGAAGGAGATGATGCTGTAGGCACACTAGTTGATCTATCTTGAGAAACATTATTCACTTCTTTGCAACTGTTAATCACTGGTGAAGGAAACAGGGGCTCTTTCCTGCGGGTTTCGTCAGCAGTGCCATCCACATGACTTTTTCTATACTTCACGACAGCTGTAATCTCAATATGAAAGCAAAGTCACAAATAAAGTGGTGACAACAAATAAGTGAAGTATAAAAAATTGCCCCATGTACCAATCTTGAACTTACCAGTTGCAACATCACTTAAATAGTCGAGGGCCAACTCAAGCGGTGCGACATCAAGGATGGATATAATCGGACTCTTGATTAACGGAATCCATTGGCATTCCGAATTTTCAAAAGAAACAAAACTAGACGAGAGATGCTGGGATTCAAAGAAGATATGCCGTTGAGGAGCACTCCTAGCCAATGCTTGATCACGAGCGCCAACCAATTCAACTATCATCTTTTTGACATTATTAGCCACATCTTGTCTAGAAGAATCAAGAACACATAGGGAAAATGTTTGGATAAGGAGCTGAACATGCTCATATATCAACACATGCAGTTGCCTGAGCTGCTGATCAGTAAATCCACATGCTAAAGGTGCACGCGTTAGTGAATTCAAGGATGAAGGGAAAAGGGCATTCTGGGTAGGATATTGCCATCCAAAAGCATGTGCAGGAGTCACCAATGCAGATGGAATATATGGCACAATTGGTCTTAAATGAGTTTTATTGGATTCCTGACGATAGCTACCAGCCCCAGACAACTCGGTTAATGGCCGCCTCTGCCTAGTCTGAGGCCTACGGCCATCTTTCTCTTTTCTATGATTTGTGTCGTCATAGTTCTCAACATTTTCATCACCATCACTTTCTAGGGCCTCCTCAATCTCGAGCTCAAAGTCTGCATCATTATCATCTTCGTCTTGGTTATCGTCCCCCTGGAGTGCCTGTGTGTCATTGCCTACACCAGAAAGGACAGCAGCAAGAAACTTGCGGTATTCCTCTTCTTCATCAACATTTTGCAGACCACTATCGTCATCTGATTCCTGGAGAAAGGTCTCCAATTCCTCAAGTGAATAGTTTTCTAGTGAGTATCTTGCTCTCGTCCGTCTGCAAATTGCATCTTCCTCACTAATTTCGAGAGATAGGTGATGAGGGTTTTGCACTGTTGGAGAGCAAGCAGCTTCGCTTGCTAAAACATCTTTTTCCAATCCATTCAAGCGGCCTTCATCATTCTCAAGATTAACCTGGGTAGACGTTTCTTCTGGAAATATTTCGTTGACAACATCTTGAGAGGACAATCTATTTTGAGGAAGTGCACTGTCACTTATATTTTCATTAACTACAGTATTCTGCAGATATGTCTGACTACTTGGTCGATTTTCAGAACTATGTTCCTCGCATTCTGCTTCTGAGGTAAGGTTTGATGAGGTCTCAGACGGAGATCCTTCCCTAAGGAAAGGGTTAAAATCTATGTCATCCTCCTCCACGTCGTCATCAACTTCCATATTAGATGATGCGATAGTGATTTAATCAAGACAGTAGGATTCCTACAACCTGTCATCCATAAAGTGTAAAAAGTTGTGTTAGGATCAATACAATGTGTTACACTTTGCAAGAAAAAAAAACATTAGCATGCAACGGCAAGTCAGTAAAACTATTGCATAACACAAGGATATGAACAAACACCCATGTAAGATCAAAACTTGGATTACACTTAGCACCCACATGGATATGTTTTATTGGCATATAGCAATAACATAGTTGCAACGTGTTTAAAGTGACTCTTTATAGCAGATGTCAGGCATAACACACTCATCTATATTTCGAAAATACGAAGTTTTGAAGTAAGCTAACTTTAAGCCAAAACATCTAAATCTAATCTAAAAAACAAAACGATTGCACCATAGACACAATACAATATCAAACTATAAAAGAAATATCATCAATACCATTTCATTGTTAAGGATGAAGATGACCTAAGCTTCAATATCAGAGAATGTACCATGCAGGCCAGTGTAGCCCTAATAATCCAGATAATGCCTTTTTTTTTGAAAATAATAGGAAATTGTGGAGGATAAGCAGGCCAGTGTAGCCTTCTGTAGGTAACAGTTCTGTTCTGACACGGGGGCGGATCTAGTGAAGGGACATGGGTGTACACATGTACACCCAATAATTTTTGCAAAAAGTTAGAAGTTAGTAGGCATCAAACAGCCAAATAGCTTGAGGTTAGAGTTTGAGAGGGGGGGGGGGCGGGCGGGCGGGGAATACATGGTGGGCGCTCTTCGCCGGCGAAGAGATAGGCGAAGGCCTCGGCGCCTGGCGTAGGGCGGTAGCCCACCTAGTCGTCGCAGGCAGGGAGGGAGGGAGAGAGCGAGCGCACGCGGTGTGGAGGTGACGGATGCGGCGGCGGCGAACGGAAGAGAGGAACGCGAGGGGGGAGACGGAAACGAGGGAGGTGGAGGACGGTTGGGTTCCAGATGGATTTTTTTTTCAATTTGCTACTCCATCTTTTCCAAATTACATGTAATTTTTAGTTTTCTACGTATATAGTTTTTCTATAAATATATCTCTACTCTCTAACTATAATATATATAATATTATAAAAGAGCGAAGTGTTTTTTCAACTGGTTTTTTTTTATTTCTACTACATAAAATATGCTTATTTTGGTCCGTCCCTAGGTTTTCTGATTTTTTTACGTACGTACCTAAACCAAAAAAATGAAATAGAAACGGAAATACGGACTAGTAATAAACCAAAACGAAAAAGAAACAGAAACTGAAAGATAAAAAACGTACTACAGTCGTGAGTCCACACATAGAGATACGGAGGGCACAAAGACATTTCGGGAAGTACAGATTTATATTTATTTTCTTTCATAAAACCATGTTCAACGTCAGCATGTTCGGTTGGCTGGTTCGTATCGTTGCTGATTCACGAAAAAATACTGCTGACTAGTTTGTGTGAGAGAAAAATACTATTCCGACTGAAAATTTACGATGGTTTACGACAAGCCACAGCCAAACGAACAGGCTTACAGTCATCCTGTTCGGTTGGCTGGTTCGTTTCGTTACTGGTTTGTGAAGAAATACTGCTGGCTTATTTGTGTGAGAGAAAAATACTATTCCGGCTGAAAATTTACGATCGTTTACGACAAGCCATAGCCAAACGAACAGGCTGAGTGTGATCATGCATTCAGGGCGTGGTTGGTTGTCCGAACCGGACCGTCATATGGCTCATCATGCATCCTTTGGTGCATTTGCCTATGTTTGGTTATCATACTCGCATCTTTCTCCTGCTTCTTTCCGTGCAGATTCTCTCCTCTATCTCGGACGGCGCCGTCTTCTCAATCCCCACTTCCCTCTCGGTGCAGGCTCGCTCGGTGCTTGGCGGGAACCTTCGCGCCAAGCGCGTTAGATGAGGTCGTCCGGGCCATAAAAGTGCGCGGGGGTCTCGGCTAGGGTTACCACCCTCACTCTTCGCCTCTCTTTCCGTCATAGCTCCGGTGCAAACTCCCGTCTTGCTCCCCCTCGACCTCGGTAGCCCTACCGAGGCGACCCTCGTCGGCGGATTTCTCTTGGTCATCCGGCGCTTGGACGGTATATATGCCATCTACACTCTTTCTCTCCTCTTTCTTCAGTGTCGATTTTGTTGATTTGTTGGTGGATTTTGCTTCAAATGCCAAGAAATCAGGGTTCTTGGTTTGACATCCTCAGATCTGTACGATGTTATACCTGATTTATCTGTTTCTAGCTCAGATCTATACATGATGCTTCGTATTTGGTTTATACCTCATGTTTTGTGTAGATCTTATACATGCTAATGTCTATTTTATTGTACACACTGAGCAAAGTGTCTAGAGGTCAGCGATGTTGATTGTGTAACAGTATACACTAGAGGAGCACCCTTTGGTGTGGCAGCCGCGTCTTTCATAGTTCATTTTGTCTGATTTTTTGCTTGTTAAGCAATACACACCTATGTTGCATGCTCCCTTTCTAATGTTGCCCTTCATCCTATTGGTAGACATGGCTTTTAAAGCTAGGCGAAGGGCTGTCACTGCTGTGATTGTTGCAGTGGCTTGCTTGGTTTTTCATGTGGTTTAGGAGGAGAGTTGAAGATTCACGCTCAGTCACCTATGGTCCATTGACTGAGAGGGACAAACAGAAGATGAACAACCTTAGATACATCTATGAATCTGATGATGTGCACTGTGTCAACCTTAGAATGAAGAGGGTCCCTTTTTTTTAACATTGTGATATTTTTCACAGTAGAGAGCTTGTCACTGACGACATACATGCATCTGTTGAAGAACAAGTAGCCATATTCTTGTATGTTGTTGGTCACAATGAGAGGTTTAGGGTGGTTGAACTCACCTTCAGGAGGTCCACAGAGACAATTAGTAGGTTCTTCCAGAAGGTGTTATATGCGGTAGAAGAGCTGAGGAATGAATTGATTGTTCCTCCTGCTACCAATGTCCATCCTAGGATCCTTAGGAGCAGAAGGTGGTACCCCTATTTCAAGGTTGGTATCCATAACTTGCCATACGTAGGTCTCATGCATTATTAGTTTATTATCGATGTTCACTTGCACTTATGTTTTATTGATTTAGGACTGCATAGCAGCAATTGATGGTACTCATGTATTAGCTAGAGTGCCTGTGAAGATGTAAGCTGCCTTTAGAGGCAGGAAGCACACCATCACATAAAAATGTGTTGGCAGCCATGGACTTTGACATCAGATTCACCTATGTGCTTACTAGTTGGGAGGGATCTACACATGATGTTCTTATCTTGTATGATGCTCTTGAAATAGCTGATGGCCTTAGAGTGCCACCAGGTATCATCCAAACTATAAAAAACCTTTGACACTTTGATTAATCCTAAATAAAACTACTAAAACATATTCCTATCTGCTAATTTTTAGGCAAATTCTATCTTGTCGATGCTGGCTATACAGTGAGGCCTGGTTTCTGTCGGTGCAGGACCCACAGGATACCCCGCAAGAAAGGGAGAAGATCTAGTCTAACTAGGATTTTTCTTATATAATCTTAGTAGTAGTATTATTCTGTAATCCTACTAGAAACTCTCATTGTAAACCGATTATGACTCTGACCTTCTGACTATATAAAGGAGGGCAGGGTCCTAGAAGAGGACAGACCACTTCACAATCAATCTAACGCAAAGGCTAACGTCAACTAGACGTAGGGCTATTACTCGATCACGATCGAGGGTCCGAACCAGGATAAATTGACTGTCTCTTGAGCTTACCGTCGAGTTCTGCATACGCTGAAGCCCGAACATGCTGCCCGAGTACCCCCGTGTTAGGCTATCGGTGGTGAAACATCGATAGCTGGCGCGCCAGGTAGGGGCTTTCGGTGAATTTGCATCCGAGAGCTCGACGGACCTCGACAACATGATCTTCTCGCCAGGATCAACCTCCATCTTGGTTCATGGATCTGCGAGGCAGGCGACAATGGCAAGCTCAAAGCCATCTTCTCGAAGATTTGGGTCACCATGAAGACCTTTCTATTTCGGCGACTACGACAGATCAACTCGCCGAAAGATTCACGTAGCTCGTGATGTCCGATCCAACTCAGATTTCATGGCTTTGCGCATCCTATTCAAACTCAGGCTCCGCATCCGAGATGGAGTCTTATCCAAGTTCTTTTGAGAAATCGAGTTCTTTTCCGGTGGGACTCCAGAACGTGGCCTCGGCCTATCAAAAATACAACTCAGAGTACACTCAGAGTCTTTTCAAGAAGTTAGATCCTTTTCCATTCAGACTCCACAACATGGCAAAATCTTATCAGGCACGGCTCGAAGGGTCCCTCGATCCAGTGCTCAGAATGCCACTGAAAGGAGCTCAGAAAGGTCTTGTACTAACTATAACATCTCAAGACTGCATCGTCCACTGGCCAAGTCCTGTTCCTGAGGATAGCGGTATCCGACTAGTCGGCACGACGACAACAGCAATTCTAACCTACCAAGAAGGAGACACAATCTGTGACCTTGAAGCCTCTACTAAAGTTATCAACAACTCCGACAGTGTGGAAACCAACGCCGATAACAGAATAATTCATGCACGAGAAGTATTCATGGTTCGCCGTCCTCGATCACCATTGGTCCCCCCAAAATCACCCGACATCAGGTCATCGGATGAATCTGAGTCCAACATATCACCCTTTACCTAGGGGCACGATGGTGAGACCGAGAATCAGAAGCAAGCCAGAGAAAGAAAAAACAAATTAAAACAAGGACGCCAACGCTGTGCTAGGCAGCGCAAGGAAGCTTGGATCAGATATGAGTCAGATCTGGTCGAGTATGATAGAAGAAAATCAGAGCGAGAAGCTGAAGAAAGACGCGCGGCGAATACACCCTACAATAGGATCCGAGAAGCACTAGAAGAACTCGGAGCAACCTCACATCTCAGTGAAAAACAGGAACAACTCCGGGACTTTCTCCGATCAACAATCCTAAGGACGCACGACGAAAGGACCCGCTCAAGACT